TGAAGAACATGCCTACCATAGCATCTTATCTGCTGGTGGGTGTCAGCCCACATGTTTCCTCATTTCATGACAGATGCTTTCAGAGAGATGGCATGGTGACAATCGAACACCGAAAATGGGTATAGTTCCTTGACTGGAAGAGATGCCACTGGTTGCAGAGACAAGCAGGGTGTGGAGGCCCCTGCTGAGCCAGGCACTCACCACTTGTCCAGTGGGTCTCCAGCACAGAAGTCATCTCTGGGGAGAAAATTTCCATCCAATATGGAAGCATCATATCTCATTGAAGCTAAGACCCCATCCATCATCAGATACATCCTAATTTCTATAATGTGGGGGGATATATGCTCCTTAGAATCTGTGGTTAAATGATAGTTTCATATTTTTAACCTAAGTGAAAGCCCATTCTTTAAAAAATAAAAATTCATTGAAGCTCTTCTACTGTCCCTCTAAGCTCCAGAGGGAGCAAAGCCAGCTCTTCAAAAAGACAGTTCTGCTGGCCCATTCTGTGTTCTTCAGTGCCTGACAAGAACTCTACATGTGCAGGAACTAGTGTATTTGCAGAGTGCTTGGGGTTGACAGAAAGCTGCAAGGCGAGTAGGGATTTATGGACTCGATGGTTCCACTTAATCAGCATGTGACATCCTTCTAGACTGAGGCAGGAAACTCCTTATGAAGATGAGTCTACACGGACAGTGACCTGTGTGCACTTGACAAGCACAGATCAGTGTGTGTCGCACACTGACCACTTTGTTAAAGACGATTCAAGCCTTCTGCATGAACTACTTCCCTCACCTCTGTCTTTGGTGTTACTTCTCCCAAAGTTTGTCCTTAAGGATTAATTTCTTGACTGAAGTGAGCTGGATACAGTGATAGACACTATTCTGTGTTTTTTATTCGTTCTTATTTAGACGGTTGTCTCTGGGACAAACACTATATCTTCTTTGTCTTACACCATCCCCAGAACACCATCCACACTGAGCAAATAAATAAGCAGTGGAGTGGAGCCTAAAATTTACAGAATGTGCTCATCTATCAAAATGCTGACACTAGAGCAGAGTCAATTATCACACATTAACTTGAACTTGCTAGCATTTCAGTGCATTTAAAGAAGATTCACTTCCCTTCACAATGCTCCCATGCCCCCCACCCACCACTGAAAACTAGCAAAACAGAGAACACTTTACACAAGACTCAGCTTCCCCCAAGACTCTAAAAACTATCAGAAAAGGTGCAGCTTGTATCTCTTTATAAAAGATGAAGACCCTGAATATTGTCTCACTCCCAACCCTTTGTGGATGATAGCACCCTAAATATAATCTTAGATTGGGGGAAGCATTCCCACATACACTGCCTTAATTGATTTTTACAAGATTGTAAAGCAGGTCAGGCATCATTCCCATTTTAAAGGTGAGCAAACTTACAGCCAGAACTGTGAATGACTTTTTATCAATGGGGAGAGAACAAAAGTGAAAATAAAATCGAAGCAGAGCTGAAAGGAGAATTTTAAGGCCAGGACCCTCATCTCATGGAACTACTTTTGTAGCAATTAATTAACTCCTCAGCCCCATCGGGTGACAGGAGTTGGGCCAGAAACTAATCATTTTGATTCTAAGAGTACTGATAGTGATAGCAGGCGTGTTGGTAGTGAAACGGTAGGGGTAACAGTGGCAACAGTAGTAACATTACTGCCTTATCTTTAGGTACCATGAAAGTTCCAGGCACTATCATATACAGTGTTGCATTCACTCTCCGAAACAACCTCCTATGAGTTACTGCAGGTGCCCTCCTGTGCCGAGGAAACTGAGATTCAGAAAGATCACTCAACTTTGAATCACACAGCATCCATTTGACCATTTCCAGCCTCTGGCAGGTTCTATCCTAGTTCCCTTGTCAGTGTGGTCTCACTTTGCCTACCTGGCCAAGCAGCTAGTTTACCCCATCCTGCAAGCAAGCCCAGCTGCTACTGTGGGGAGGAAATTGGGAGAAGAGAATCAGGCAAGATGGACAGATGAGGTAAGCTTTCGTAAAAGGATCTTTGAAAATACCTAAGGGGAGGGTCCCACCACAGAGGGCTGGGCTCTCCTTGGGTGGCCAGACCTGGGCTGGTTCCCAAGAGGGGCTCCAGTTGGGATCAAGGGAGGTGCAGGCTCTGTCTCTTGGTCTCTCTGGCCAATGGTGTCACTCTGGTTGTATCACCCTGCCTTCAGGCACTGTTTGTCAAATCCTGGGTCATCTCTGTCCACCTACAGAAAGAAGTATCTCCTTTGGGTTGAGGGTAAAGCTATTAATTTTCCACTGTCCATCGATCTGGGCCTCTGGGCCCAGGAAGTCATCCCTATGGGCTTAGCAGGGACAGGTCACGTGAGATGCGCCACCAGCAACTCTGCAACTCCACTTTTGGAAAACACAGTCCACCACGGTGGGTATAGATGCTCTTTGGCCAGGTCTACCCAGTGGGCATTGGCTTTCTGGTGGCAAGCTGTGCAGAGCAGGGTTGGAGCACTTGGCTGGAAATGCACACATGTGTGCACACACGTGTGCCAGGGACTTCTGGTCCTAGTTTTCATTAACTTGCTTTGTGACCCCATTTCACATGCTCTCTCCTTTTGGGACTCCAGTGTTCACATCTGTTAAAGAGTGGGGGCAGCAGGCAGGGAGGGGCATCATATCACCTGCCACTCAACTTGTGGAACTCAGGAATAAAGTGAGAACATGGGTTTTAAAGGGCCTTAGAAATTCTCAACATTTTTGCAATTAATGTATATTACTTGAGTGATAATCAAGGATAAAACACACAGAGAGAAATGTTGTGGAAATTATGGAAACAGAACTCAAATAGGGAAGTATTACCTTAGCATAGCTGGCAATTCACAACCAGACCCCTGAGCTAATTGTTCTTTTAGAAATATGAAGGGGGAAAGGGAGGGTAAGTCAGACCCTGAGAAGTAGAGCTGTCAGTATGCTTGATGTTATATAAAACCTACCAAGACTCAGCTGAGAATTTTAGCAGAATCCAAATGTGCTATAAAGAAAAAAAAAAGGCACGGCTCCCATCTCTAAGGTTCACAGCTAAGCTGGCTTAGAATCACACATGCCAAGGTTAAAAATAAAAAGCAGCCATCCCTGAGTGACATGAGCTCTGGGCAGGAAGCCTGAAGTATGATGCTTATGGTGGAATGCGGAGAGGGGAGTGCAGAGACTACACAGGGTACAGGTGTTTATTGGAGGGCACAATATCTAACAGCCAGATACTTTTGTTATTTTGCACTTAAAAAGCACTTTACATTGGCAAAGGGTTTCATAATAATCTCCAGACCTTCCCCCGAGGAAACCCTGCCATTCATTAGAGTATGACCATGGCTGATACACCCAAGACTCTGCTGTCCGATGCACTGGCCTCCCCCACCCTGGGGTCTGGGTCCCACTCTGTCCTTGCTCACTGTATATGCCCAGGTGGGATGCCAGCTTGGAAAGCACTAGACCTGCCATTCTGGGCCACCTTATTCCACTGAGCCAACATAATGCTGCCAGGGCCATCTGTAAGCCAGCTATCCCAGCTGGGCTCCACTGGAGACAGACTATGCCTGTCTACCTCCTGAGGGAGGTGCAGGTCCCACCCCTTGCCCCCACAACCATGACCAGTGAAGGCTAACTGGCAAAGGTGACAAGTCAGCCCTGTTGCCTCCATTCTTGCAAATCCAGGACCCCCTATTATGAGCCCAGTGGGGTCCTTCTAATGAAGTTGTCCTTTGTCCAATATACTTAGGACTTTTTATTTCCTAAAGGTTTACTTTTATCATTTCTTTTTAAAATTTATTAAAAAATTTAAATTAGCTTCAGCTACTGTGCAGCTACCATGTTACCTACCCCTTCCCAGTTCCATTACTATGCAGACATAGCTATAAAGTCTTCACAGGGCCAGGGGAATGGTCAGGAGAATTCTGTGAACCATGTGTTATGGGAAGACCATACATTACACCAGCCCCCAGGATGCCCTGATCAGTCCATACAGGAGCTGGGAGGTAAATGGATATTGAACAGCAGGGACTGTCACCTTCCAGAGGAAGGTGACATGCCCAGACTATGCCCAGACACCACAGCCTGGTGACTCTCATCCCCAGCAGTGCAAGGGAGGAGTGGGAGAAGTCTACATATGACTGGCTGCCCCACGACTCTGGCCAATCTTCACTGAGTGCCCACCAGTATCCCCAACTCCCCATCCTGGTGGCTGGTGTAGAAGCATCACCCAGCATTGCACTTCTAAAGCACTATAGAAAGGCCTATGGAGGCAGACGAGGCAGACAAGGCAGGAACTGCTTCCCTATCCAGTGTGATGAATGAAAAAAACCGAGGCTCAAAGAGTTTTAGGAATTTGCTCGAGCTAAGTGACAGAACCTCAAATGCAGGCTTCCTTTCACTATTTTAAGACCACTAACTCAGGGTCAGAGGGATAGGGCCTCAGTCCAGTTACCGCAGCAAACACCTAGAGCTGGAAATGAGCCTGTAGAGAACTTTCTCATCCCAGCACCTCCGTGGATGCCCTCTCATTCGGCCTGAACTACGGCGACCTTGCCCAAGCACCAACCCCTGTCGCAAGAGGGTCATCCTGTTCTAACTTTGCATCCTTCCAGAAAAGACCTGAGGACAGTCAGGAAAGGGCTGTGTGTAGGTAGTGCGTGTTCTTCCTGACCCTTCCCTGAGCACCTTGCGCCACCAAAGGCTGGACCCGGAGTCAGCTCCCCCGGCTCACTCCGAGGCTGGGCTCCAGCCCTCCCTTCCCTCCAGGCGACTCCAGTGATAACGGCCCTTTGCCAGTCAAGAAAAAGCCTGTCCAGAGGGGAAAAACGGAAAATTCTGGGCAAATTAATCCTCTAATATCCTCCAACGTGTCAGTTTGAACCCACACAACAAGCCGGGTAAAGGGGAAGAGAAAACGGAAAGGTGGCTCTGAGAATGGAGCCGGTTGGGAACCGGGCGCTGCGAGGGGCTCCCCTCCTTACCTGTACCAGTCCAGCCCGCGTCCGTAGTTCCTGTCGAAGAAGTGGGGCTCCGTGCCCAAGGCCCGCACGTCCGGGTGCACGCGGATAAACTCCAGCACGGCTCTCGTGCCTCCCTTCTTCACGCCCACAATGAGGGCCTGGGGCAGCCGCTTGGTGCCCAGCCTCGGCGAGCCGGAGAGATTGGAAGAAGCCGGGAGGCGCGGGCGGGGTACAGCGGCTGCAGGTGCGCTCGGAGTCGGCCCCAGGGGATCGCAGGGACGGGACTTCTGAAGTTTCTGGCCGTCCGCGCTGGGGCCGCGGAGGCAGCGGGGCGCGCCGAGGAGGCGACTCCGACCGAGGTCGTCGCAGCAGCACAGGAGGTTGTAACAAAGGTAAGTGCAGGAGAGCGACAGTGTGAAGGCGAAAAGCAGCCTACGCGCCCTTCGCGGCTGAGGTGGCCCCGCGCGGCCCAGGACCCTATAGGCCATGGCTCCATGGGCCCGCGCCGGGGGGCATGGTTTCCGAGGGGGCGCCGGCGGCGGAGCTCCTGGGGCCCTGCGGCCGCCTAAAAGGCTGGAGCAGCTCTGCCCGGGCCACGTGAGTCGCACGTGGGGAGCTCCGTCTTTTCCAGGAACCGCCGGCCGGGACGCGCACCAAGCCCGGGGGGCCGGGGGGCGGCGGCTCCTCGGGGGACAGGCGGCAGCGCCTCCAACATCGCCCAGTCCTAGACCACAGGGCTCCAGGCGGCGGGGCGGCTCCCGGCGCTTCTCGCCTCTTGAACGCTCTGGATTCCTAGCGCACCCGGCGCCTGAAGCCCCATTTCCGAACCCCGGCGGTGCGGGCTGGCGGCGGGCCGCAAGGTGGCGCTGGCGAGGGCCGCGGTAGGGCTCCTCGGGAAAGGCCGAGGCGAGCGCGCTGCAGACTCTATTTAAGGAGTCGCCTGACGTCAGCCGCGCGGGTCCCCGGTGTCCGCGCCTTGACCGGGGACCTGGCCCGCCCCGCATCTTCTTATCCCTCCCAGGACGCACACCCCAGGCCCTCCCCAACAAGGCCGCACCCTAGGGAGCTCTGGCCAGCTTGTGGTGGGGTGGGGACAGGGTGTGGAAGCATTTGCTTCTTCAGGAAGCTGGACACTCCCGCTATGCAGGCCTCCGGACACCGAGGGGTGGGAGCCCATGTCGAAATTGTACCAATATTCGGACCCAGACTTGGACTGAGAACAGACGCAAGCACTCCACACCGATAAACGGTCCCAGCGCGCTGACACACGCAAGCACAAACACAGGTGCAGACGTACCCTGACTGGGACACACCACCACACCCTCATGGGGTGGGGAGGGAGAAATCTCCTAACCCGGGCAGAGAAACACGGACACGGACACTCCCCTCCACCCGCCCCACCCCTCCACCCCCATCTCACCAAACAGACACAGAGCCTGGAATCGGACATCGTCCCTTGAGCACATACGTGCACGGGACAGGGGACACCGGTGCGAGATGGGGACACGTTCTAGACCGGCTGCGTGGAAGAGCCGAGCATGAGTGAGATTCCGTGACTATTGAGGGAGCTCCTTTGCCGTGTCCCCCGCCCCGCGCTGACTCACACCCAGGCGGCTTGATCCGTCTCACACCCATGACGCGTGCGCCCCCACCCCACTGTCACTCCATCTCTCACTGGACCTGGGGGAGAGCCAACCCCAAAGGAGCGGACTCAGCGCAAGTGGGTTCCCTCTTAGCAGCCGCTCCCTAGCGGCGGACTGCTCCCTGGGGAAGCTATTCGGGGTCCCATAGGATCCCTAAGGTCCAAGACTTCTTCACGCAGTGGCACAAGGAGGAGGAAAGGGAGGGCAGAGAGGGCTTAGGAGCATTTCCACTTCGAATGATTCCTAAGTGACTTCCCACAGGGCAATTCTCAGTGACTATGATCAGAGCAAGCTTGAGTGACCAACCCAGTACTTCCCTAAGTGATCACATTAGTTAGTGGTCATCAGAACAGGTCTAAACGACCATGGTCCTGAAAGCAGCTAAGTTGTAAGTCCATGACAGGGCCAAGTCACCATGCCCAGGTGGTTACCAAGTGAGTACCCCCATAGAATGTCTGAGTGACCACCATCACTCCGCAATCCTCCCTCTGCATGCTCATACACACAACTGAGCATCCTTCAAGGAATAACCAACCAGGTTCTGCGGACCTTAGCCCTAGTCAGGGTATAGTTTGTGCCTAAACCAGGCCCATTTATGGAAGGAAATCTTAGGCCAGGGGTGTCAAATGTAATTTCAACTCCTTAGCAGTTAAGGAGTAGTTACTTTTATACAGCCCTAAAATTATTTCGGCTCTTTGAAGGCAACCGAGAGGCTGATGTGGCCCCCCCCCCCGTGAAAATGACACCCCTGCCTTAGGCTATTCCCTCTACTGCAGATAATAATGACTACCAAGTTTGTTTCAAGCACTCAGCATGTGTTAACTCATTTAATATTCACCACAACCTATTATGTTGTTCCCATTATCCTCAGATCACTTTGCTTCCTTAATCCTAATAGTAGCTAACCTTTGTGGAGTATTTGTTTTGTGCCAGTAGTGTGCAAATCACGTGACATGTGCTGCCTTGTTTATCTCCAAAGAGAGAGACATACTGTTGTAATTCCTCATTTACAGACAGTGTGATTAAGGCTTAATGAACATATCCTCAGTAATTGACAGAGTTGGGATTAAACTCAGGCCATCCCACTACAAGATTCAAGCTCTTCATTACAGTGCTTTGCAGTTCCCTAACTTCCATTGACCATTCTTCATGTGATTCCATGCTAGAGCTAAACTAATTCATCTAGATTATTTCTAAAATCTGACACCTGGTACTGAAGGAGGAATTACAGGTATAGATGGAAAGGTTACACAGGACTCAGATCTCTCTTCTGTAAACTATTTCTAGTGATGCCACCTGTGACTGTGTTATCTTTTTTTCCTATAGCTGCATCACACTGCTGACACCTCAAGCTTGCAGACAATTCATATCTCTAAATGCTTCCTGAAATTACTGCTGATTAAAGTACATCAGCTCCACACTGTGCTTGTATAACGGGCTTTTGTGGACCGAATATATAGGTCCTTGCACATTTGACCTGAATGAATTGTATCTGGTTTCATCAGTTTACCACTTCTTCTTAAAAACAACAAAAAAAGTCTACTTACATCTTGAATCGTGATGTAGCTCTTATGTATTCAAAAAGAGAAAGTAGAAAGATTAAATCCCAACAGCTTTACCCTTGATGTCAGGAGTACCTGGGAGAAGTGGATTGATATCCCTGATCCTCAGTTTTCTCACCTGTAAACTGGGGAGTTATGATTAACTTCAAAAACCTCTTTGGGTTCTGATGTTGCATAATTCTATGGTTCTATTATTCAAGGTATGAACCCCTCTATTGGCATCATGTCACCTCCACATTTGATTACAATTTAATTAATTCCTTACTCAAATTGTTAATAAAATGTCAAAACAAATATGTTGAAAGGAGTTCTAATACATACTTTCACATTGTGAACCGGCTATTTCTGCCCTACATTGTTAAAATTACAAGGTTAAGTGTAGATTAATCCACTCTGACAAGCACTTTATTATTGGTGGGACAAAACATGAATATTGTCTCTGATTGGCTCCATTTAAAAATTATTTTTATCTTAAAATTTATAAATTCTGAAATTCTTGGGTGTTGGGAACCGCCCTGACTGGTATCAGAAGCTGAAACCCCCGCCTAGCTAAGGCTAAGGGAACGCCCTTGGAACCGTGAGCCGGCAAGGAGATAAAAGCTTATCTTCCTGGCAGGAATGCTGCTTCTGCTGCTGAACCGCAAAAAGCTTGGTCGGTTAGCCAAAGACGGGTAAGATTCCCCACGGGGGGAACAACCCAAGCCAGGCACGATCACTTTGGGAGGCCCCCCAAAAGAAGGACTTGGGGGGCTGCAGCAAAAGGGGGTGATGGACCCTCACTCCTCGGCTTTGACAAAGTCTGAGTTCTCAGCGTCCGGAAGAAAATCTCCTTATCTCTCAGTGGCCTTAGTTCCCGTGCTCCACCTAAGCCTGAAACAATGACAGGGTAGTACAGCTCGGTACTGGGAAGTGCGGATTTCCCGGGGGTGATCAGGCCTAAGAAAGAACATGTAAATTACTGTGAAACCTTCTTTGTTTGGAATGCTCTCAGTTGAATGAGAAGGGTCTTAGGAGGAAGCTAGTTTGTTCCTCAGCCTTACAGCTCTTTGACCCCCAACTCAATAGACGGGCAGAGTTCTTTGTTTTCTATAGTTCCTTACTTCCCTCTAATGAGTACTGTACTTTACCTGAATTATTATGCAAAATGAGCCTAATAAAAGCAGGTATGGACGGTAAATCAGCGCGCTCCCCACTAGGGGGGGTGGCCATTTCGTCCCTACTTCCCCACAGAAACTAGTTTGTCTCTGTGCATGTGTGTTTTTCTCGCGTATTGTTGAGCCATCCACAGTGTTCCATGGTCACTGCTGGCCGGTGACCCACGCGCAACACTTGGGTATTCAGAAACATCAGAACTACGCAGATTTGTGTCTTCAAATTTCCATGCAGAGTTATGACCACAACTTAGGTAGAGTTTTTCAGGGAGTGAGACAGGAGACATGTCTGCTCATTTTCTCCTGCCCCTCAATTTACAGTAGTACCATGAGTTTCCTTTGGGGAATCAGGGATGATTATGTTGGGTTATATGGTTTGTCAAAGACACCCACTTAAACTAGATATATTCCTTTTTCTATCACCTGGAAGAAGATGAAAATGACTCAGGGCTGGTATGGCTCCACAGTGTTAGGGACCCAGCCTCCACCATGTGTCTCCTTCACTCCTAAATGGCTGTGTGGTCCAAGATGACTTACTTTGTGGACAAAGATAAGGAAGAAATGACAGAGACATGCCCTTTGATGACATTTCCTAGAAGTTGCCTTCATTACTGCCACTTATGTTCAGTTGGTGAGAATATTGTCACAAGACTTTCTAGCTCCAAGAGATCCTTTGAACTGTAATCCACTTGGGTTGATAGATGCCTGGATAATATTTTTGTGTTTTTTACTCAGAAAGAACTGAAGAAAAGTTATGGAGGGCAACTAGTAATCTCTACTATCCTTGGAGAAAGGTATTCCCTCATTCTTTTCCTGTGTGGTTTGTGTGGGCTGATCTTAGTTCAAGGACAGGCATGTGACCAAGCCCTGACAATTATAATTTTCTAATCATACTTCACTGAAAGTGAGTCAAATCTTTCCAGTGAGGATCAACCACAAGACTTTTGAAATTATTGGAAAAGAGAAACTTTTTCTTCTAAGATGATGAGTTAGTACAAAATAAGCCTGAAGTTTTGAGTGGTCACCTCTGCCATCAGGAGGAGAAACCCAGGGGCTGAGCAAACACAAGGGAAAGCAGGACTGAAAGATAGAGACTCAGACAGTATCCTTTGAACCTCTGATTCTAACCATGCTTAGAATCCATGTGTCCTGACCGACACAAAAACACTTGCTACCTCAGTTACAAAGAATGGTGGGCCATTTTAATAAAAAATGGTGGAGGTGGGGTAGAAACTCATTTTGAAGGGTATGCACAGACTAGGCCTGGAATCACTCAAAACTTGAAGCAGTTATAGGATCCAGCTGTTTTCTCTATCTTCTCTACTGTTCTTTGTTCCTTATTTATTTTCTTCTCATTTATAACTGCCTTCCCCTCACCCACCCACCCACACTTTATTTATGAATTAGTAAGGGTTACTGAGTAGCAAGCAACGGAAATGGGCTTTGGTTAATATAAGCAAAAAAGAAGAAATCAGAATAACTCAGAAAAAGAACTT